TTGTTTTTTGTGCCACTCTGCTATTTCACTGAAAAGTGATCTCAGGATATAGTTTTGATTTAAAGTTTAAAGAGTGTGCCAGGGCAGTAGTCTCAGGGAGTCCTCTGGTCTCAGCTGGTCCAGTTAAGACTCAGACAATACTCTTTATTAGTCACACATTATATTTTGAATGCTATCCTGTTCCAGGTAGGTTCAATTCCTATCAACTTAGGAGATCAGGCAAAAGGGAGGGACTAACAACTTATATATTCCCATATGAAATAATAATTGATACTGTTTCGATAGTAACCTTTGCCTTTCACTTGTCTTATCAGATTCCTTTCTAGACAACAATAATACCTTGTCCCAGCCTTCCCCACCATCCCCCTCCTTGGCCCCCACAGTCCACTTGTAACCATTAAGGATGGTAATTGGGGCAGCTGATTAGAAGTTAGCTGATGCTTGATACTCTTCTGAGAACCATAGACCCTAAATGTGAAAAGTCCCTAAAGCAGCTAATATTTAGTTTTCTAATGTAAATTCCATAATTAGTACTAATAACCTAATTAGTCAGTATAACATTATAAAGAATTATCTCCCTTTAGCTGCCATAATTCTTTTTCTTTTATTTTTGCTTGTCCAAATACCTACAGTACTTGTGTTTTAAATATTTCAGTGACAGCATAGGCTAGAATTCATAATAATAATAACAGATCTTTTATATCCCATATTTCATCATGAAAGAACCCTTAGTTAGTACTTTCTAGACTGTTTATAATAGGTAAAAATCAATAAAATGCAGACATCTTTTTGGTAGACTGTTTTAAACAAAGGTGAAGAAGCAAGCTACAATTTGTGAAAGGTGTTGAAGGAGAATGTCATATCTATTTGAAATTATGGAGAGAACATTGATTTTTTTTTTTTTTAAAGCAGAAAAATCAATGCTCAAATTTCAGTTTTGCGAATGTATGAAGTTTGACCTCCTTACAAAAAGTACATTGGCATTTGGGTGATCATAGACAGTCTCTTAGAGCATGGCATTTTTTTTGTTTAGTAGTGATGTTAAATATCTCTTAGGAGTCAGTAAATATTACAAGCAGTTGTAACTTATTATCGAAGTAACCAGCCAGCCTTCAAGGCAATTCCAACTCATGGTGACCCCATGTGTGTCAGGGTAGAACTGTGCTCCATAAGTTTTTCATGCCTGATTTTTCAGAAGTAGATCACCAAGTAGTTGTGACTTATTTTCTGACTTACCTTTCCTTGTAGTATTTACACATTTTGTTTACATCCTGAATCCTCTCCAATTTCTAGCCAAATCTACTCATCTTACTTTTTTCTCTGTTTTTCTAAAGGGTCTGGTTAAGTAGCACTCATCTTTTCTGAGTGGAAAGAGTGCCCAACTTCTCAATTAGCACAGTCTTTTCTCAAATCTCAGTCTTCTTAACTCTTTCTGTTGTGAGAGTCTAGTAGTAGGCCAGTGCCTTCAAAGATTGGGGAATGGCAGGATGGACATTCTTGGATGGCTTCTAAACTCAACTTATAATCACTTATACACATCTTCACAGATTAAAAGTTAGAGGACCTAGGTAAAACCTTGAGAGAAAAGAAAATTTAGGAAAGTAAGATTATGCCTTTGTGTATACCACTAGACAGATACATAAAAATGTGTTTATAGTAACAAGATGACTGAACATAGGATTGGTCATGTCAGAAAGAGCATGTTATTAGAGGTTTGGAGCTTTGAGCCATATGGTATCAGCCTGACCTCTGGGGAGTGGAGGGGTACTGGTGATTTGACCAATGAATCATGACAAGTGATTCAGTCAGTCGTGTCTATGTAATTATACCTCACTGAATTTTGGGAGAGTTTACCTGATTGACAATATTCTGCATACATCAGTGTACTTGAAGGGTGATGCATCATTACAGATACAGAAGCTTTGCGTTGGGACCCCCTGGATTTTACCCTATGTGTCTCTCCCTTTGGCTGGTTCTAGCATCTTGAAAGAGTCCTGGTTGTCTGCTTCTGAAAGATCACAGCTATGAAAACCCTATGTAAGGCAGTTCTATTCTGAAATACAGGGACTTGTCATGAGTCAGAATTGATTTCACAGTAATTGGTTTGTTTGAGTTCCCCCTCCCCCAGGTAGCTGGGGGAGAAGTCATTTACATAGGAGGAGGTAGATTTTTATTTTCCCATCTGTGTATAGTAGCTATAGACAGACGTTTCTCCTTTGAAGTAACACCAACTACCAAGAAAAGAAAGAAGTGAAGTCTCAGTATATTTAAGGTGAGGTAAATAAAATACACACGCACAGGTTTTGTTTTTTTGTTTTTTGTTTTTTTTTTATGAAAGCTAGAATATTGTTTTCAAGGAGAAGTGTATGATCTATAGTTGCAATGTTTAGACATTTGGCAATTGGATAAAATAATTGTTTGGTGAAAATAGGAAAACAGATTGACATAAATGTACATTAGGGCAGTAACTTTCATTTCTTGTACATACACAGTGAAATAGTTCTAAGCAATAAATTCTTGGAAAAGTAGGGTAGGGATTGGATAAATGTCATAGTTTATGACTGAATACATATAAACAGGTGAAAACTCAAGATAGAAAGATAATAGTAACCACTTGATAAAGAGACTTAAAACCCTTTCACCCTACAAAAAAGACATTTTTTAGAGCTATAACTTGGTATTTGATTTTTTAAAAAGATACTGGTTATATTTGTGCTTACTATGGATACATACAATAATGAATGGAATGTCTTTTGTTCCCCAATACAATGAAGTATTTATTTATTCAAAATACTAACTTTAAAAGATTTTAGTTAATGTATTTGATGCTGTAGATTCTGGAACTAATACAAAATTGTTGAAAAAGGGTAAAAGAGTCACTGTTTGTTCCACAAGTATCTTAAAAATAAAGGATAGTTGACCAGGCAAAATTATGTAGCTATTTCAACTGACTACCAAGCTAAAAAGTAATCCTGGTGGCATGACAGTTAAGCACTTGGCTACTAACTAAAAGGGTAGGTAGTTCAAACCCACCTAGTGGCTCCATGGGAGAAAGACCTGGCTTTAAAGACCTATAAAGATAACGGCCTAGAAAACCCTATGGGGCAGTTCTACTATGTCACCTACAGTCACCATGAATCAAAATCGACTTGACAGCATCTAACAATCAAGTTAAAATAACATATCATAAACCTTCAGACCTTTCCCAAACCTGTGTTCCCTGTTCCACTTCTGGGTATCAGATTTTTCATGCCTTTTATCTCCACTTATCTAATTATCACTTTTCTCCCTTATAGAATCTTCTGTAACAGATAACTACATCCCACTTTGATTTTCTCTCTCTTCTGAATTTCTGTTACACACATACTACCTTAAGACTTCTGCTGTTTCAATCTTAAGCTCCCTGAGGCCAGGACATTTTGTTACATATTTCTTCATACACAGTTTAGCAAATGCTGGGTGACCAGTAAGCATGGAAAACAAGTTTGGGGGGAATTTAGAAGAGAGCAATGAAGAGTGCGATAGTGAGTATTTGGACACAAAGCATCATGAAGGAGCCCTAAACTAAAGAGGGACCAGGTCTTGGGGAAGATAAGAAAGGCATTCCACAGAGAAATCACAAGATGAGCTGCGGCACAAAAATGCGTAGCCTGGTGACTTAAATGTTGTTATGTGCCGTCGAGTCGGCCCCAACTCATAGTGACCCCTCCTTGGGTTTCCAAGGCAGTATCACTATGGAAGTAGGATTGCCCAACCTTCCTTCCGAGGAGTGGCTGGTGGGTTTGAACTGCCAGCCTTCTGGTTAGCAGTCAAGTGCTTTAGCCACTATGCTACCAGAGCTCCATAGGTGCCAGTTAATACTGAATGAATAAACTAATGAACAAATGAATATATTCTGAATAGAGTGACTTCACCAAGTTTACTAGACTGTTCCTTTTAAGTCATTCATTCATCAAACATTTTTTAGTTCTAGGCTACAAAGATTAAGAAATCATTTATTTAAAGGTGTTCAAAGTCAGAGATAATCTGACATGTAAAAAATTATTGAACTATGTTAACTGCAATAAAAAAGTTATACACAAGGTCTATGGGAGCATAGAGGAGGAAGCTGCAGAGAGGATTCTTATAGGTCAGGCCACGTTCTCAAAGGTCTTAAATGCCAGTCCCCATTATTTGTGCATTATTTTGGTTACCATTAAGGAAAGCTATTGGCATCAAGTGACTTTGAAAGGCACAGGACAGTACTAAGGAGCCCTGGTAGCGTAATGGTTAAACTTTGCTGTTAACTGAAAAACCAACCAATTCACTGCCATTGTGTCAGATCCGACACGACCCCTCGTTGGGTTTCTGAGGCAGTATCACTATGGAAGTAGATTGCCTAACCTTCCTTCCGAGGAGTGGCTGGTGGGTTTGAACTGCCAGCCTTCTGGTTAACAGTCAGATGCCTTAGGCACTATGCCACCAGAGCTCCCGTTAACTGAAAGGTGGAGGTTTAAACCCACCAGCCTCTGTGGGAGAAAAATGTAGCAGTCTGCTTCCATAAAGATTTATGGCTTTGGAAACACTCTGGAGCTGTTCTATTCTGTCCTGTAGGGTCATCGCGAGTCAGAATTGACTTGATGGCAATGAGTTTGGTTTAGGACAGCAGTGATTCTAGGATTTTCTTGTGGGTCTTAGTTAATAGGCACCTCTCAGAGTTCCTTGGCCCTGCTCCATAATTATAATTCAGGTTCAGCTGAAAGCAAAAGTCAGGATATGATTGGGCAATAACCTTTTAATTTTAAAATTTTGTAAATATCAAATTGAAATGCTTTAATTGTTATGAAGTCCTGAAATAGCTATATAACTTGAAATGTATTGTTGGCTTTGAAATAGATAATTAAATATATTTGGAATATGAAAAGACAGAACAAGGAAAAGAACTTTGGTTTGGATGTTGCTGAGTTTTTAAAGGTCTCTAAGCTTAAGTATTTTTGTTCCAAATTCTTACCTAATTTCAGTCATTTGATCCTTCAAAAATCCAAAGAAAGGGAAGTATTATAACTTACTCTCCAACAACTGGAACTTGTCAGATGAGCCCATTTGCTTCTCCCAGAAGCTCTCAAGAACAAGAGCACAGAAATGGACCATCAAATGGTTAGTTGAACATTCTTTTCCACTTATTTTAAGACTTTTCTAGTTATTGGTTAAATCAAGATTTTGATTTAATGATTTATGGATGTAGCTGATTTTTCTCTTCTCAAAGAATTCAGCATAAAAGACTAGAATGTAGGTAATACTTTAGACATAAATGTAAACTTTCTAGACAATTATTTAAAAATGCTACTGCAGACTTTGTTCTCTTACAGTCCTATCCATTAAAATAGAAATTATGGCCTGACTGCCTTCAGCTACTATCAATTATAATGGTTACAGATACACCCCTTAACAAGTTGTCTATCATGTGCATAAACGGCATATAATTCAGGTACTGCTGCACTAGAGTTTAAGGATGATAGTTCTAAATGTTATTTTTAGCTGTGTTGTCCATTTTACTTTTATCTACATTTAGTGTATCTTTATATAGCTTGCCTTTATTTATTATATTTCATTCTCTTCTTTTTTCTATACTATTTTAAATGTGTTGGCAGAAGATTTGTGAAATCTTCCATTAGAAGAAAGACAAATTTTAATGTAAAATTCTTTAATTTAAAGTAATGTTAGTTTAATTTTGACCATATATATTTGTTGTTCTCTGGTAATTTATTGCCAGAATTGTTCTTTTTAAAAATACAGTATTCTAGATTTCATGGATTTAATTATTATTGGAAAAAAGTCATGAGTTTTTAAGTATGCTCAAATTTAATAAAATATAATTTAGATATACTATGCTTAGCCTAATTCATATTTTATTTTTTAACTTATTCACTGCTAAACATATGTTACAAGCTACAGAGATACAGAGAAGTCTCCTCATTTTACCTAATTTTGTTTAAATGAAATACGTGAGATTTTAAACTTTTGAATGACCTTGATTTGATCTAATCAGTACTTTTTATCTTAAAGCCATTACTATTAGGTTTGCTTTCACAAAAATATATGAAGTATACATTTTCTTCAAGTTCCATAGTTCTGTTTTATGTGCACCTGATACATCTTTTTTTTTACAATTAAAAATTAATGCCTTAGAGATTGCATATCTCTATTCTGAAATGTGAATAGATTTTAAGTTGATACGTACTCAATTTCCATATTGAAATTAAATATGAATTTAAGGGAATATTCCTTTTGCCCATAAAAAGGCTGAGATCACATGATCACAGTTGACATTTAGGTGGATAAATATTACAGATCAAAGTACTAGGTAAGCTCTTTTTTTAAGAGTCATATATCAAGGGTTTCTGAGATGCTACCAATATTCTATTTCTTGATATATATGATTGGTACACTGGTTGACTATATTTCTTAAACAGTACATATATATTTTATATATTCTTCAATATGTATACCTCACATATAGAGTCTCAAAATAGGAGGATAATGTCTGGAATTACATGAGATGATGTCATTTGTGATCATTACATTGCCCATCCTAGTATGTCATTTTGTACATGTATTAAAACTCAGAAAGCTTGATTCTTCTAAAATTCCAAATAAATAAGAAAACGTGAAGTAATTAAAGTTCCAAATAAGGTCCTAACCTGTATTAATAATTCCCACTTTTTAAATACTATACAAAACTTAAGGTATCATTTAAATAAACATTTTTATTTAAACAACATTTTCAAGGACATTTTGTTTGTTACTCATTTACTGTCATACTTAGAATAAAATCCAAAATTCTTATCATGACTTTAAGGCATGATCTAATGCCTGATTGACCTCATCTACCTCATTTTCTACTACTCTTCCCTGTGTTTATGCTGCTTTAAACATGCTGACCTTCTTGCTACTCCTCAATTATCCTGAGCCCCTCCTGACATCAGCGCACTTGCAGTTCTCTCCACCGGGGATACTCTTTCCTCAAATTTTTACGTGTCCTTTCTATATACTGTATTTTTTCATAACTAGCACATGCCCTCTATGTTTGCCAACCACTTCTTCCCTGGGAGGTATTTTCATAAGTGCTGCTATGCAATATTATTTTGCATGTTGATATAAAAATTAAAAAATTATCATAGCACATTTATAGAAATACTTCCTTGGGGGAAGGAGTGATTAGCAAAACAAATGTACAAGGCATGTGTTATTTGTGTAGAAATACAGTACCATTGAACTTTATGAACAGAGGCTTAATATTAAGTTTATATTCATTTATAGTTATAATAAGGAATGAAAGTCTGGTTCTGTTACTTTTCTCTACTTGGGCCAAAAATATCTCAATTAACATGGAGTGATTGGCTGCAACTTTTCAGTTTATACTTTTAAGACAACTGAGTTTTATATATTATACTGATATCTTTCCTTACCCCCTAACACATTTCTCCAACTGATTATGCTTTTGAGAGAAGAGAAAGAAAGATGGTGAATCCTTTCTATTCCATCGCTTTCTAAGAACACATTAGACTTATTATTTAACAATGCAAGTAGAAGGTTTAGCAACAGGTTTGGCTTAGTTAAACATAGTACTTGCACATGGACAATACGTGTGAGGAAATCATCCAGATTGTTGCAATTGAGTACAGAGAGAGAATGTGAAAACTAGAGAAATAATGGATGGAATAAGAGGGTCCAACATATGTCAAAGAGGGGGAGGCCTTCAACGAGATGGATTGACACGGTGGCTGCAATGATGGGCTCAAGTATAGCAGGGATTGTGGGGCTGGCGCGGGATCAGGCAGTGTTTCGTTCTGCTATGCATGGGGTCGCTATGAGTCGGAAACGACTCGACGGCACTTAACAACAACAACAACAACATATGTCAGATAGGAGTTCTACAAGAAGGAACTAGAAATAATGGGGCAGAAGCAATAGTCAAAGATATTGCTGTTGTTAGGTGCCATCTAGACAGTTCTGACTCATAGCAACCTATGTACAACAGAGTGAAATACTGCTTGGTCCTGTGCCATCCTCAAAATCGTTGCTGTGCTTCAACCCATCTTTTCAGTCACTGTGTAGGTCTTCTCCTTTTTTGTTGACCCTTCTACTTTACCAAGCATGATCTCTCCAGGGACTGGTCTCTTCTGATAGTATAACCAAAGTACAAGAGATGAAGTCTGGCCATTCTCACTTCTAAGGAGAATTCCAGCTGATTTCCTCTAAGACAGATTTGTTCTTTCTTCTAGCAGTCCATGGTATTTTCAATATTCTTTGCCAACACCATAATTCACATGGATCAATTCTTTGGTCTTTCTTATTTATTGTCCATCTTTTACATGCATAAATAAAAGACCATGGTTTGGGTTAGGCACACCTTAGTCTTCAAAGTGACATCTTTGCTCTTTAACACTTTAAAGAAGTCTTTTGCAGCAGATGCCTATTGCAGTATGTCATCTGATTTCTTGACTATTGCTTCCATAGTTATTGATTGTGGATTTAAGTAAAATGAAATCTTAGACAACTTGAGTCTTTTCTCTGTTTATTGTGATGTTGCTTATTGGTCCATTTGTGAGAAGTTTGTTTTCTTGTGTTGAGGTGTAATCCATACTTTAGGCTGTAGTCTTGATTTTCATCAATAAATGCTTCGTTTTTTTCACTTTGAGCAAACAAAATTATGTCATCTGCATATCTCAAAGATAGGAGAATTAAAGATACAAAAACTATAATTTTCCATAATAACAACACAAATTTGCAAATTAAAGTAGCATACTTATTATGAGCAGAATTAAGTAAAACAAATCTACATGTGGTTGTGTCATGATAAAACTGCAGAACATCAAAGACTAAAAGAAAAATTTAAAAGCAATCAGAGAAAAGATATATTACCTTCAAGGAATGACTGATAGTAGGTTTCTGATCAGTATCAATAGAAAGAAATATAGTAATCCCAACCAAGAATGACAGCTAACTTCTCATTCAAAAAGTGAGGATGAAATAAAGATACTTTCTGATAAAATCTGTGAGAGTTTACCATTTACTAGTGCCTAAAGCACTTGACTGCTAACCAGAAGGCTGGTGGTTCAAACCCACCAGCCACTCCTCAGAAGGAAGATGGGGCAATCTACTTCCGTAGTG